ACGTCGATGTTTCTCTCACTCTCTCTCTCTTCCTCTCTCTCCCTCCCACTCTATCTGTACAAAAAATGGAAAAATATCCTCAGGTGAGGATTAAAAAAAAAAAAAAATACCCTTTGGTGAGGATTAATAAAAAAACAAAAAGACTTTTAAGCTGTGGAAGTTAAAATTTTTGTTTAGCAACTTCCAGACCACCTCAATAAAATGAGTATCCCAATTAAGCAAACTGTAATCTTTTTGCTAGCAGAGACTCTTGCCTTCAATTTATAAAAATTGTGACATCTGCCTAGCCAGTGTGGCTCAGCGGTTCAGTGTTGACCCATGCACCAAGAGTCACCGGTTTGATTCCCGGTCAGAGCACACGCCCAGGTTGTGGGCCCAGTCCCCAGTGGGAGGCATGCAGTAGGCGGACAATTGATGTTCTCTCATTAATGTTTCTCTCTCTCTCTAAAAATCAGTTAAGAAATTTTTTTTTAAATTGTGACACCTGAGAAGCTCAATGTGTATCTATCTCATCTCTCTCTCCCCATTCTCTCTACAACATGCACCAAGAAAAGGCCATGTGAGCGCACAGTGAGAATGTGGCAATCTGTAAAACAGAATGTCCTCACTAGAACCCGACCCAAACAGACTAAGACAATACTGTCTCATTAATGGATAGTATTCCATATAACAGAATACTATATAGTCTTTAAAAAGAATGGAGAAGCTCTTTATGAATGCATATGAAATGATCCATAATGTTCAATAAGTGAAAAAGCAAATTGTAGAACAATGAGTAACATGCTCCTATTTATAAGAAAGATGATACAGTTTGCTTGTTGATGCATAGAATAACTCTGGGAAGAAAGAAAGTCGTGTGTGGCCTCTGAGGTGGGGAAGGATAGTTAGGAGTATTAGGGAGATACTTGACTGCATATGCACCATGTGAATGTTATCACCTATCCCAAAAACATTGTTTAAAAAAATTAAAGGGGCAAGTGGTTCATTTGTTATTTCTCAAAAAAAAAAAAGAAGGCTTGAGTTGTAAGATGCTTTTTTTAACTGTACTCAATTGTTTTTATTCAAGCAAGTTGTAGCCACCCACAGAAGAGATTGTCATTCATGATTTGGATTAGGTTAACCACCTGGTCTTGAGACTCCTGTCCAAACTATGCAAATTCAGCACACCTGGCTCATCTCAAAGCCCTTTCTACCTGCTCAGTTAAATCTTCCCTGTTAATTCCAAGTCATAACCTGTCTCACCTCCAAAATCACATTTCCCTTGAAACCACTCACCTGAGCCTCTATTTTGCCTTGTAGAAGGTAAGAGCACTGGCCTTTGTAGCTGTAAGAACTGGGCTTGAACCCCTGCTTAGTTGGGTAAATTTTTTAATCCAAGCCTCAATTTTTTTCATCTGTAAAACAGAGATAATGGCAGTATCTACATCACTGCATTTTTGTGAGTACCTACCATTAATAAGGCATGTAATACTCCAGCAAAGTGCACTGCTTTTTCTTCCCCTTAAACTGTAAGCAATTGTAAAGCAAGAATCCGGCCTTTAGTGTTTGTTCTGAGCCTGTTTTCATGTATACAATGGGTATCATGTATACAATGGGTATACAATGGGTATCTCCACCACAGTTGTACCAAACAAGGTAACATACATGAAATACTTAGCACAAATGCCCCGCATAAAATGCTCAATACACATTAAAGATTATCTCATACCTTTGCTCCTTAGAATGAGTAACAGAATCTTGTATATGTGACCAACCTGAATGTGATTTCCAACCCTTCCTAGTTGGGAGCACCTGGGTTAGTAACTTGACCTGTTTCCTCATTCCCAAAAGGGTGATGATACATATAATGTATATTAAGTATTTAATAGAGTATCTGGCACCCAGTGGATTCTCAATAAATATCAGGCCAGCTCCCCTTCGCGTCTCTCCTGTTGCTGACCCTTAAGTTCCTGCTTCCCGCAAGCTGGCGGCCCCTCCGGATGAGAACCTCCCACGCCCTCGGCCTCTCCCGCCGCCCCGCAGGGCTGCGAGTTCCCGGGGAGCCCGCTGGGTCAAACTCCTCGGAGCAAACCTTCCCTCCACCCGCTCCCCATACTCGAAACCTTGCTGTCCCAGTCTCTCCATGTCCCTCGTCTTCCTTCCCTCCGCCCCCATTTTTTCTCCACCCTCCCCAAACTCCATTTTCCACCCTTCTTCGGCCTCCACTCCCTCTCGCCTTTGAATCCCAAAGCGGTTCCTTTCTCAGTCCCCGACTTTACCCTCATCCCCTCCGGGTCCCCCAGACTGCCCCTAGCCACACCCCAAACACATTCTCGCTCCCCACCGTCCCACCTGCACTTTCCGCCTCTTCAGCGCCGCCGCGTCCAGCCACACGCCGCAGGCCTCCTCCTCGGGGCCTGTGCGCCTCATGGCCGCTGAGGAGGCCAAGCCGGCGGACACCCGGCTGAGGGTCCCGCCGCCTCAGGGAACTGCCACGACGGCATCTGCCAACGTTCGGATCTCGCGCCAATTCTGGGGGCGGGGCCACGTCGCGGCCGCGCTGGCGCAGGTACCGCCCCAGCGTCAGCTCCGGCAGCCCAAGCTCCGCCCCTTCCCTAAGGCCCGACCTACGCCGAATCGCGACCGCAAACCCATCCTCTAGTGCTGGAGACCCGTTCCCTTTAGGAACTTCGGGTCCTTTCTTCTTTCCTTCAAAGGTTGTATTCCAGGAAATATGTTGTGTGAACGCGTTCGCGCCTCTGCGCAAGAAAGGTGCTGAGTTAGTTGAACCTTTTTTTTCTTGATAGAATTTTAGAGAGAGAGGAAGGGAGAGGGAGAGAGAAACATCTAGGAGAGAGAACATCGATTGGCCGCCTCCTGCATGTCCCCCACTGGGGATATGGCCCACAGCCTGGGCATGTGCCCTGACTTGAATGGAACCAGTGACCTCTTGGTGCATGGGTCCATGCTCAACCGCTGAGCCACGCCAGCCAGTAGTTGTACTTTTTTTTTATCCTCACCTGAGGACATTTTTCTTTGCATTTATCTTCAGATAGAGCAGGAGGGAGAGAGGGAGGGAGGAAGAGAGAGAGAGACACCTATGTGAAGACACCTATGTGAGAGAGACACATAGAGTGGTTGCCACCCACACAATCCCAACTGGGATGGAGACAAATTGCAACCAAGGTAGGTGCCCTTAGTGGGAACTGAACCTGGTACTCTCCCAGGCCGCAGGCTGATGCTCTAACCTGTGAGCCAAACCGGCCAGGGCTAGTTGTACTTTCTTATTGTAAATATAACTACCCCAGGTTCAGGGATTTCCTTGTCTCAAAAAGGAAGAGTAGAGGCTCAGAGCCACCAACTCCAAATCTAGAGTCCACAACACTACCCTAAATGGTTAACGTACCCTCAAGTTTATGAATTACTTATGTAATTCAAAGAAAGAAAATCTAAGCTTAACTATAAAACCACATCAGAGAGGATTTAGAAAAAGTTTAAATGAAAACTAAAAATTTGGAGTCCAGAACTAGCTTTCAGTCCTGCCTTCATGGCTTACTGTGTGACTTTGGATTTTAAAGATCAAGTGAAATAACATTTGTTAAAGTACTTTGTAAATTCTGAAAGCCTTTCAGAAATGCAAGAAGGATGACATCCCACCTGTCCTTCCATCTCTAACCACAATCTTCATAGATGTTTTATATATATGTATATATTTCTTAGGCATCTGGGGTTTTTCTTATCTGTACTTCCTAATTTTCCTTCACTGTATATATATTGCTTATTTACTCTGAAAAAAGCAGTATTATAAAAGTTAGCATAGCAATACCATGAAAAGCTGACATAAAATTCTCCTTGACTGAAGACCAAAAAATGAAATCTTTATAAAATTATAAAATGGGATATATATTTTACAACATTCTTTTAACTTGTAAAATGTACCTAATAAAACTGCCCCTCATTCCCTGCCCCCCCCCCCCAAAAAAAGTTCACATATATAGTGTATAAGGCCCAAATATCACCTCAGGCAAAGATAAAACAAACAATTCAAAACCACACCATGAGCAGGCCCATGGGTCTCCCTGGACCAGGAGACAAAAAACAAAGAAGCAGCAGTTATCACAGTAACTTTATTGCATCCAGGACATATCAGAGTCCAGACCACCCTTAGCTCCAGGCCCACTGAACTCCTTCCATACCTCTTGGCCTCTGTACAGGTTTTCCCCTCTGCCTGGAGTGCCTTTCCTCTTCTCCACCTGCAAACTTCTATTCACCCTTCCCCACCCAAGACACTGAGGGCCCCAGGCCATACTGATTATTCCCTCCTCAGTGCTTCCCCTGACAGTTCATTCCAATATTAAAGTCTTTGATCTTGTACTGATCCACAGGGGCTAGTCAGTGGCCTGCCTCTGAACAGAAGCCGTAGAAACACAATGGATAACTGAATTGTGAACAAGGGAACCAGGAGAATGTCTGGGAACAGGACATGTGGAACACAGAGCCAAAGCTAGGAGGGTTGGGCTCACTGTCTGGGCCTGTGACTGAGAGGTATGGGGCACTGGATGGGATCCAGATGTACTTGGCACAGTCTTCACCTTTAGGGACTCTGAAGCTCCAAAACTCCAGCTGGGTTTCAAACAATGGTAATATCCTGCACACATTTTGGCCCTGCCCCTTCCTCATCCACCAGTGATATCTGGGTACATGGGAGTTGCTGAGGCCTCCTCTGCCTCTCAGCTCAAATCTAACCCTGGCCTAAATTCCACCTTCATCCTCTCCCAAACAATCTGGAAGCCCCAAACCAGAGTCCTGGTCCCAGCTGACCCTCCCATCCTCACCCCTAGTGAAAGGCAACAGGGGGAGGCAAACCAGGGTGGCCATTTCATTATCTCTTTCCCTCTCCCAAGCCAGGGAGCTAAGGCAAACCAGGAGTGGACGCCAGCAGCTCCAGGCCAATTCCTAAATCCAAGGACTAGCCAACGCCACCATTGGCAGCTGAGGCATGCACAGAGAGTCACTGCAGTCCAGACACAAACAAATTTACCAGGCCTTGTTCCCATTTGGAGCTAAGCCCGGACCCCTGGGCTCCCACTCTACCTCCCTCCCTACCAGCTGCCACCTCCCTTCACTGGGTCTTCTGATCGAGTTTGCGCCGTACCAGCTGGCTCAGGAGGAATGCGGTGAGGACACTGCTGCCCACAGTGAGCAGGAAGAGGCCAGAGAAGTTGTGGGGCCAGCGGGTATGCAGTGGCTCATAGATGGATCGCCGGGCCTCATAGTCCAGTGCCACAGCCTCCAGCTGAGCCAGTGTACAAAACACCAAGAAGACATGGAAAAGCTGGTGGCCCTGCCCAAAGAAGTGGCAGCTGCCAGGGAACCAGCGCTCAGGCACGAGGGCCGAGAAGAAAGCAGCAGCCAACAGGAAGAAGATCACCTGGCACTTGTGGTAGAGAAGAGCAAGGTCATCTGTGGCAGGGTTGGGGGACACCAGGATGCGGTGCGCCACTGGGCTGATGTCCAGCATGTAGGCCAGCGCCGAGGGCACTTCCTGGCACGAGCGGCCCAGCAGGCCAGGCTTCTGGATGTACTTGTTGTAGCACGAGCCAGTGCAGGAAAGCCAGGCGAGAAAGGCAGCCATGGGCAGGAAAATAGCCTGTACCTGGGCGTGCCAGGCAGGCTCAATGGCATAGTAGAAGTGTGCCAGGGCACTGCCAAACTGGTACACAGCCACACCCACGTAGTCCAGAAAGAAGAAGCTATAATGCCAGAACTCGGACTTGGCCTGGAGGAGGTGAGCCAAGGCACTGAGGAAGAGGTAGGTGAAGGAGGCGAGGACAATGATGAAGAGGGGCAGGGCGTGGGGGTCTCCCCAGAAGTCCACGGTCCCCACAAAGATGGCCAGTCGCAGCAGCAGCACCAGGGCTGCCAGCAGGTGGGTCCAGACGTTCACCGCCTCGTTATGCTGCTGGAACAGTGTGCGGAAGTAGAAACGCCAGGTCTGATGCAGTGGCCGGTAGCCCACATAGATGTATGGCTTCCAAAAGAGGGGTGGCACCTCGGCTCGTTCTACTGTGAAGACAGGCTCCGGCTGCACAGATGGCTGAGGCTCCTGGTGGACCTGCCGCAAACTGGGCACAAGGTGGCTAAGCTTCTGGGCCACCGCTGTGGCCATGGCTGTGGGCTGGGCAGGGAGCTGGGAGAGGGACCAGAGCAAAGTCAGGGACTGGTGTCCTCTCCCCCTCAACCCCATGCCCTGTTCTTACTCCCTCCTCCCCACTCCCTTATCCCTACACAGAGTTTCAGAAGAAAGGAATCACCCTAAGGGAGAGCTCAGCCCTGACTCATGATTGTCCTCCCTGATGTGTCCCAAATGCCTAGAACAGTGCGTGGTACATAATAGGTGCTCAATAACTGTTTGAGGAATGCATTAATTAGTAAAGCTCACTACCTTAGCCATTTCCTTTCCAGTCCAGGCTCCACACAGCAGCCCCCGTTGTTTTCTCCTGTGTTTATGTCGCCATCAGTGTTCACCTGGTGGTGACAATGACCTTGATAACAGACCAGCTGCCTCCATCTTTAGCCCTTTCAGATTCCCACTGACCCTCCATTACTCTACATAATCTAGAACCCTGCTATTTTTTCCAGCCTTGCTGCTCAACCACAATGCATTCATATCCAGCCACAGCCTCACCAACCCCCTCGGCCTGTTTCACATGTCTAGAGCTTTGCATTAGCTGTTCCCTCCACCTGAGACATTTTCCTCATCTTGCTATCTGGCAAACTCATATTCATCCCTCAAAACCCATTTCTTCTGTGATACTTTCCGTGGTCCCCTGAACCTCAGATGATGACCTCTCTACTTGAGTTCCAACCATCAGATATATATCCTTTGACCATATAACACTTCTCATGGGCATTAAAATTGTTAATGTTGCCCTGGCCGGAGTGACACATGGTTAGAGCATCGAGCCACAAACTGAAGGGTCACGGATTTGATTCTCAGTCAAGGGCATGTCTCTGGGTTACAGGTTCAATTCCTGGCCCTGGTCAGGTGCAGGAGGTAGCCAATTGTTGTTTCTCTCTCTCCCTTCCCCCTCCCTTCCACTCTCTCTAAAAAAATCAATGGAGAAAATATCCTGGAGCAAGGATTAACAAAAAAAGTAAAATAAAATTGTTAATGTGAGCTCATTGAGGATAGGCAGTTTGTTTCATTTTGTGAACTCCTGGTGCTTAGCAGATAGCTAACACTCAACATAAGTTGAGTCAAAGAACAGCAGCATCCTGATAACACTTCATACCCTTCAAGGCCCAACTAAAAAAGCCACTTTTTTGCTGAAAGTCCCCAGGAATAACTGATCCTTATAAAAACAGCCCTTTCCCTGAGCCATACACCCCACTCAAGAGTTTCCTCCTCCAGCCCCAGCTGTTTTGGTTAGTGACAGCCCTTGGTTCGAAGGGTTACAGGTTTGATTCCCAGTTAAGGGCACATACCTGGGTTGCAGGTCAATACCTGGCCCCAGGGATTGTGCGGGAAGCAACCAATTGATGTGTCTCTCTCACATCTATGTTTCTTTCTCTTTCCCTCCCTCCCTCCCTTCTACTCTATCTGAAAATCAATAGAAAAATATCCTCAGATGAGGATTAACAGAAAAAAAAAGAGTTTCTTCCTCCAGTCCTTCCACCCCAGCTATGGTTGCCAATTCCAAAAAAAATCAAATTTAACCCCTCACCCCATCAATCAAGACTCCATGACCTGCTCCCACCCTCATTACTAACCTAACCCAAATGTCATACCTTGTACCAATTTCCTTTCCCTCTGCAAGCTGCCACCTCCAGGGGACCTCCTTACTGCCACCCTCCACCCACTTTCTCCTGTATAATGGGTTATACAATTTAGCACTTAAAACTCACTAATTCCTTCATTTAGCAAACACTGAGCTCCTCCTCTGCCTCAGGTCCTGTGCTGGATCCAGGGGAGGACAGAATGAAGAGGATTTTGAGCCCTGACCTCAGGAACTTCGTGATATGGTAGAGATTATAGAAAGGAAAACAAATCATAGCAAATGCTTATACAGCACTTGCAATGTGCCAGACACTGTTTTAAGTGACTCATTTACACCTCATAACACCCTGTGAAGTTGATACTATCTTTATTCCCATTTTTCAGATGAGAAAACTGAGGCCCAGAGAAATTAAGTACCCTACCACCCACCTAGCTAGGAAGCAGCAGAAGTACAATCTAAATTCTGTTTCCAATTTTAACCACTACCCTAAACTGCCCTTTGCAAGGTAAGGTGACAAGTGCTATTAATCATTTCATAATTATATGCTATAAATCGTTTTTATAGCATTTGCCTGGTACCAGTTACTTTATTCAGGCTTATCATTATTCACCATGTCATCCATTAAATCAAATATCTATTGAAAAACTAGCACCTGCCAGACAACTCTCCTTCATCAAATAAATGCCCTCCAAGAAGCTTATTGAACTTAGCATCCAGGTTTTCTGTCCATCGTTCATCAGATTTTATTACAAATACTCTTGTACTGCAAGAGGCAAAGAGACCTGAGCAGGAAAGCAGTCATGCTCTCTATCACCAGCAGCACCATGATGACCCCCAAAGCCACTCAATAATTCACACAGTCCAAGTAAATGCAGGGGACTTGCTATGCAAAGGCAACATCAAGACAAGCCCCACCCCACAATCCTCTTCACCCCCAGCCTGATTTGCATCTGTAAGCTCCTCCCACATTACAATTCTAGAGTTGCTCTGGTCTGTAGCCTTTCCTAGTCCAGTGGGGAGGCAGATGTGAAAGAAGTCATTACTCTACTGCAGGAGGGGTGCTATGACAGGAGTCTAGGACTCTTCCACTTCCTATTCCCCAAACAGCCTGGCACACAAAGTAGGTTTTGGAAGTAGACCTTGCCAATGGACTAATTTTTTTCTTTATTGATTTTAGAGAGCGATAGAAACATCGATGAGAGAGAACATCGATTGGCCGCCTCCAGCATGCCCCACATTGGGGATTTGGCCCACAACCTGGGCAGGTGCCATGACCAGGAATCGAACCCGCGACCTCTTGGTGCATGGGTCAACACTCAGCCTCTGAGCCACACCAGCCGGGTGCTGATGGACTAATTAATAGGATCCCTTCCATCCCAAACAAAAAAACTCCCCCACCCTGCCTTGCTGATGGGGGAGCCAACATTGGATTGTCTCCTCCCTAAGAGACTGGGCTTCAGCCTCAACTTTCTGGCCTCTACCATTGTCTACAACTTTGTCTTCCCATCTCAGAGCTTCAAGGAGTCAAAAAAGGTCTCCGAAAGCATCTCATGCAGGTCTTTTACACTGAGGAAACAAGAGCCCAGAGACAGGAAGGCCTTTTTCATTGTTGCCCAATCCAGCGAGGTTTCCATCCCACCACCAGGGCAAAGACCAGGGAAGGATCACATACTATGGTGGCCTCGTTCCTGGGTCTCTGTGGTACATTATGTCAGTCAAATGTTTCATATCCCACTCTTAGAACTTCACAAGGCATCACAGCATATTAAAGGCTCTGAGAAGTCCTGCAGCAAAGAAGCCTATTTTGTTTTGTTATTGAACCTACATTTGTCACACTTACATGACCAAAAATTCCTTTCTCAGTAATAATTATATTATAAATCCAGCTGAAATGTAAGTGTTTATGCTTACTCTTTATAACTTTGTTGCAATTAATTCTCATAACTAGCCTGTGAGGTAGATGTTACTATGCCCGTTTTGTTGTTGAGGATAGTGAAATTCACTAGGTTAGCTTCTTACCCAAGGTCACACAGAGACACAGAAAGAGAGGTGGAGCCAGGATTGGGACCCAGCTGACTGCCAAGCACAGACTCTCAGCCACTCTGCTGCTGCCCTGCTTCCTGTCACACCTATCTGCATCCCACAGAACTACTTAGGAAAATACTGGTCTAAAGCAGGCAACCAAGTCCTTTCCTGTTAATTATTCTCTTAGGCTTCTAGCAACTGACTCAGATCCAGGGACCTCAGTCTCCCCCAGATAGCAGCTACCTACTGGCTCTGCACCTTGCTCACAGCTACCTCCTCATTTACAGCCTTCTCCCCCCCCACACACACACACAGTGGGCCCAAACACAGAACCCAGAGGCCACACACTGAGATGACAGCGGTCCTACTGCCCTATTTCCCTTAGACCTCAGCCAGAGGCCCCAGTCCATCTGAATAGGTCTATTTTCAGAATTAGCACTCATATCCTGACTCTTGGAAAAGGGCCCTGGATTCAGGGGAAAGGAGCAGGGGCAGGGGTCCAGCATGAGCAGGAAGGATGAGTGTAGGTATGCAGAGGACACCCTCAGGGCAATCTCTGAGTAGTCTGCCCACCAGGCTGCTGGACCTGCCTATTCCAGGCAATACACCTCAGCCCAGCACAGCTCCATGGCTCCCTTGCACTGCTTACCTAGGGGTTTCTCTACAGCCTGGGGCTGATGACTTCTGCTGTGGCACTGGGCAAATTTGCCAGATGCCAAGCACTGGGTGGCACTTTCACAGGTGAGGGTCACTAGGGGCGGGGCTTCCAAGGACTGGAGGTGTCTTGTGTGATGTCATCAGAGGGTGGGGCTAAAAACAACCTCCACTTCTCTCCCCTCCCCTCCCCCCATCACCACTCCCACATTGGTCACATCCAAGCTAAACTCTGCCCTCCTAGCCAGACCTCAGCTGCAGAAGGAAACTGACCATTAACCTGTGCATGGAACATCTGAAAAAAAAACAAAGTCTGGCTGAAAAGCTATGACTTACCCAAGACAACCCAGCAAGGCAGGCAAAGTTGGGCTGAAACCAGGTGTCCAGGGCCTGGTTGATGGATGTCAGGCAGACTTAATTGGCTTTTGTCCCCTATTCAGTGGGAATCAGAAGAAAAGGAAGTTAGCAATAAAAGAGAAAGCAGATTCTGTAAAGGCTCATGAAGGAGATGGACTTCAGATTCAAACAAACCAAGTTTGAATCTTGATTCCATAACACACTAGCTATGTGACCTAAGACAAGTGATTCACCTTCTCTAACCCTTAGCTCCCTGATTGCAATTATAGTATTATGTACCTCATAGAGTACTGGAAAGATTAAATGTATTAGAATAAAGTCTTGGCACAGTTTAGGGACTCAATAAATAACTGCTATTGTTATTATTAATAGTAGTAAGTAATTATTAATAATAGTAGTAGTGTTTGAAATATCCCTGGCCTGAGAGATTTGCTTGGGGTTCTTAAAAAACAACAACAACAACAACTCAGTCCTCTTTTAGCTCTCAATAGCTGGTTCCACTGGATTTGGGGCCTTTGGAAAGTTAACTGTGTCTCTTTAAATATTTATCTTTCTCTGAGGGTGCATTCAGGGACCAGGAAAATGGCTAAAGTTTGGACTTCTGGGGACGCTGACCTTATTAAATAAATTGTCCTCAGCAAGGACCATTCAGAGTAACCCCTCTGGATTCACAGAGCCCTGAAGATTTACACTTGCCCACAGACCCAGGAGAAGTGGCTGGAAAGTGAAACCCCCAGGGAAAGGGCCGCAGCCCCAGCAGCCCCATCCCTGAACAAGTAGGGGAGAGATTAAAGGAAGTCAACTGTGCTAGCAGGTAATCCAAAAGGCATGTAGCCTGGCTGGGCCTGTCTTGCAAGTTTGGGAGGCTTTCAGAACTGAATCTCCATGGCCCAAATGGGACTTCCTGTCAGCCTGAGCAGCTCCTTTCTCTACTCCTCTCCCACCTCCCCAACCCTCCCAATTCACATTCCCTTTTTCCTAAATGGAAGGTCAGCCTCCTCACCTCTCTCCTCAACCAAGGCTTGCCAATCTCTGTTCCTCCTGGTCTCTCTACCAGATACACACTGTCAGAGTCCCCTAACACCTCTGGGGGCAAAACAGAGGACCAGGTTTTGGGGACAGGGTAGGAAATGGATTTTGGAGTGGGAGAGCACCCCAAATTTTACCAATCCCACAGATTTTACTCAGTGCCTGCTATATGCCAGGCACACGGACCACTACAGGGGCAGGGCACATGTAAATGAAACAGGCTCCCTGCCATGACAAATAAACCCAACAAACCAAATGCCCCAGGGCCTAGGAAAATCAGCCCCAACAGAGGCCACCCAGGTGGTGACTGAGAAAACTGCTGCCCCAAGGGAGGTCTATCACTCACCTCTGGGAGACTATTTCAAAGGAAGCCAGGCCCCCATTTTTCTGTGTGGATGGGAGCTTAAGACAGGAACTTACTAGCTGTGTGACATCTCTCTGAGCCTGTTTTCCGCATTTATAATCAGAGAATAGCAATTAACTACCTCCAGGGCTCTTGCAAAAGCAAAATAGTCACAGTGCTAGGTGTTGGCTCTGGCACAGCCTTGGCTCCACTATTTTTGTTGGGTTCTACTCCTGGCTCAGCCACTCAATCCCTGTGTGACTTTGGACAAGTCCATTCCCCTCTTGGTTCCTTTTCTCCAAATGTCAAGGAGAGTGAATCCACCAGTAACTTCAAAGGGCCCTTCAGGCCCTGAGACACTCCAACACTTATTTTAGGCCTACTATGTGCCAGGCCTGGAGCTTCCACTGTGAACAAGGCACTTAAACTAGCCCAGCTAATTAACAGTTAAGGGTAACACCTAAGGATATTAATATCCTGATCTCTTAGAGTTTAATAGCCTAACTAAATAACACCTAACTATTATAAGTACTATTTGGTTATAATTCCACTCCTTCTTTTGCCTCCTTCTGATATGCAAAATACAGTTGACCCTTGAACAACACGGGTTTGAACTGCGTAGGTCCATTTATATGTGGATTTTTTTCAATAAAAAAGTAAAGTACTGCCCTGGCCAGTTTGGCTCAGCGGTTAGAGTGTCGGCCTGCGGTCCAGAGAGACCCAGGTTCGGTTCCCGCTAAGGGAATGTACCTCAGTTGCAGTTTGTCCCCGGCCATGGTTGGTCATGTGGGTGGCAGCCACTCGATGTGTCCCTTTCACGTCGATGTTTCTCTCTCTCTCCCTCCCACTCTGAACAAAAAATGGAAAAATGTCCTCAGGTGAGGGGAAAAAAAAGCATTGTAACTATTTTCCCCTATCATCTCCTTAATAGCATTTTTGTTTCTCTAGCTTATGTTATTGGGAGAATACAGTATATAACACATATAACATACAAAATATGTGTTAATCAACTGCTTATGTTATTGGTAAAGCTTCCATTCAATAGTAGGCTATTAGTAGTTAAGTTTGGGGGGAATCAAAAGTTTATAAGCAGATCTTTGACTGAGGGGCAGCGCCCCAATCTCTCCTTGTTCAAGGGTCAAAGGTATTGTTGCTTTTCTAGGTTCTGATTGTTCAGAACACTCCCTTAAAGACATCTTTACCTTGCCATGGAATGCAAAGTTTAACCTCATTAAATACAAATAACAGTAAGGCCAGACCTGTGATAACACTGGGCTTGTCAGAGGTAAACCCTCTTGAGGGACCCTGACAAGGATGACACAGTATTGTGGAGCCTGAAATGTTAGTAAGATTAGGCACTAATACTAATAATTTATAGTTGCTTGCTGTTTACAAAGAATTAACATTAATAGTTTACAGTTGCTTCCTGTTTACAACCTTTCAACCTGCATCTAAGCTGGCGTCACAGCTCCAGAGGTAGGATGGCAGAGCACAGCATGTCCATCTTGTCCTCCATCCACTATGGTCAACTCCCAGGCACCCAGTGGGTGGCCACAGATTATACAAGCAAAGTTTTCATCCCTGCCTGGCAACTGGGTCACCTCCCTAAATGCAAACCAGTTCCCCATCTCAGCCCAATGTGCTTAAAGAAAATGTCTTCCAAAACTAAACAAAAACCTTTTTTTTTTTTTGGAACTGTACTTAGGGCATTCACTTGTACTGAGAAGTGTGATCAGAATGAATAAATAACTCTTAAAGGAATTTTTCCGTGGAGCTCAGACTCATAAATGCTCTGAGCACAGGGAAGAACCTGGAGGAGGAAAGCAGGCCCAGAGAGGTTGGGTAAGCTGGCTACAGTCACCCAGCATGGGAAACAGAAAAGAACCTGAGTTTCACCACTAACCAGCCAGAAGCCCCCTGGGCAGGGGAACTGAAGCTGGAGAGGAGCAGTCTCTCACCAAAGGGCCCAGAGGTGGCACAAGCCCCATGACAGAAGACTGCATTCCTCTCAGCATTCTGGGCCACACACCAGATGCAACCAGGCTCTGAGAATCCATCAAGCTCTGCAACTCCCCAGCCTTGGACTGACCCGGCCACCCACTCCACTCCACTCCACTCCACTCCATCCAGGCCTTGCAGGCGCTGTCCCTGGGAAAGTCCTCAAAGCCTGCGGGCTTGAGGCAAATGCTGTGGGTGGTGTGGGGCTCCATCTTCCCCTTCCCTCACTGGGTAGGGGGAACTCCCATGCTCTCCTGACACCAAGGGAGGCTTCCCCATTGCAAGGGGCCCAGGCTCTTCGCCCCCTGCAGTGCTGTTCCCACTGTTCCCACTGTTCCCATTTCCCAACAAGTAATCCCTCATATTACTCAGTTCCAGGTACTCACACCCCTTCCTGCCCCTGGAGTCACCCTAGATTCCTTCTGCGGTGGAAGCAGTCGGCTCTTCTTCCCACCTCCGCCCCCTGGTCCCGGAGATGCTTCCCTCGCCCTCTGCTCCTCCTTCCTGCTCCTGCCCCCTCCACAGCGATGCCCCGCCAGCTGATTCCTGCTGGCGTCCAGTGAAGCCCCAGCTCCAGCAGCTGTCCTGCTCCCCTCACCCTCTCCCCACGTGACCTCCCCACACCCACACCCTCACACGCTGAGTCCTGGCTGCCCGCAGCACCCCGCGCCCCGCGGGAGCACTGAGCTGCACACCCCCAAGCCGGGTACCTGCGCGGCGAGCGGAGCCGGGAGAGACGGCCCAGCGCGTCTGGGCCGCGAGTGCGCAGATAAAGGGGCGGGTGGCGGCCCCACCCCGAGCCGGGGGCGGGCCAGGCGGCGGCGACTGCGAGCGGGCAGCCCCGGTACTCCAGCCGGCCTCCACCCGGCCCAGCGAGACCTGGGCGCTTGCCAGCTTCTCCCCCACCGCGTCCACATGTTGCATGCGGAAGCGAGAAGGGTCACCCACATCGGCGATGAAGTCTTGGGAGTTTCTGTGGTCACTGTGCAGATGGGGAAACAGGCTGGAGAGCTGAGTAGTTGCCCAAGTCCCAGGCCTCAGCGGGGGCTCCAACTGAGAGGTTCACACTTCCAGTGGACTTGAACCAGCCGCTCTCGAGTCTGGGCCTTGGGCCTTGTTAACTTTATCCTGAGGGAGCAAGTTCTAGCAGGAGCAGGATGAGTTTCCCAGCTAGAACTCACACTAGCCCTGAAGCCACTTAAACCCACACACCCCACCCCTCCCTAAACTACTTCTGTTTGAACAATGCCTAGCCTTCCCCATCTTCATCTCTGCCTGGGGGGCTCCAGCTCTGCACCCTTGTTCCCACCTAAAGCCCTCTCCTTGGGTAGTGTCCCCTGATCTGCTGAGCCCCAGGCCCTTTGTTTGGACCTGTATTAAAACACCCACTTTCTTACTCCTTAATGTAGTGTACATCTCCCCCAGGAGTGGGAGCAGCTAAAGGGTGAGGGATCCCCACACATAGTAGGCCCTCAGTAAATATCAGAATAACAGTGGCAGGCATTGCCCACTCCTCAGGTATGCAAAGACCTGGACCAGGCAGAGTGGGAGACACCCCACCCCATCTTGGGAGCACACAGCCTGATGGATCCAAGTCCTTGCCCAACCCCTAACTCACCATGTGACCTTGGGCAAGTCTTGTTCTCTCTGGGCCTCAGTTTTATAATCTGTAAAATGGAGATAATACTGATTGGGTTGCAGCCAA